TGAACGATTTAATACATTTGTGTGTATCTGAGGAATGTTAAAGTCGTAAATGTGCTTGATTGTATTAAATGCTCACCAATTACTAGCCACGCGCGGTGTCTCACCTATATCCCATTCCTCCGAATAAAATTATTTGCCGATAAAGTATAATCGAATCAGCGCCATCTCGAAGCATATCTCACGATCTGCGTCGTGCGCAACATAATGAGAGCAGATACGCAAATTTATGCAATGTGACGCCGCATCGGCATGAAACCAAAGATTTCATAAAATACCGGACAATCAATAAACATAGCTACGACAATTATACACATTCCTTAAGACAAATCATCTAAGCACGTTGCTTACTTATTACACTTTTCACTTGGTGCCGCACGTTGTTCCAAGTAAAATTATTTTCCAATAACCCCATCGTCTCTACGTTTGTCTTCATCTCATTAAGGTCAACGTCTTTAAATACCTAAAAATGATTCGAAGCGCATCAGATGTTACGTCGGTTGTACTTCTTAAATGTATTGTACAATGCATCTAAATACACGAACATTAAGTAGTCTCTTCTCGGCATCTAAAATTATTAATTTTACGAAGATCGTAAATATTCGTCTTAATTAAACTGAAATTGAGAAATAAACAAAATCAATAAATAATAGAGCAATTGTTACATTATTTATACAAGATTGAATACTAAAAATACACAAAAATAGTTGATAGGTAGATAGTTAATGTGTAGGTAACGTCACTGATTTGGCAACGAAACTGAAATGTAACTTGCATAAATTTATTCAACAGTTACTGCCAAGCGAATGAACTGAGATATTTTTTTACGTTCATCTACTGTATCCTAATATACTACTGAATGATGGATGTTTACGAGACTGCTGCGTGGAATACATAATGGTAAAGTATGATACCGATGCACACGCTAACTACAATGAAAGATGTCTTCTGTCGTGTTGCCTGCTCGAAATATGCTACGTTGAATATATTCTAATGCATGATATTTTTTGCCGAGGTGAAATACAGGGATGCTGTATATAGTCTATTTACAGACAGGCTGAGAGTTTTAACCTCCTTGCAACAGAAAAAATATTAATTATCAATGTAACACAAGAAATGTAACATACATATGTTAATTTCTCACAAAATATTAATAATACTCGTGAGACGACTTGTCAAAGTTCACGCAAGCGTAATCGCTCTTTTCATCACTCGAATACTTCATTCCAGTGCTAGCACTCGTGCAACACGTTTGGTCGTTGGCGAAAACATTAGTCGCATTTATCTTAAGTTCGACGTATCAACTATGGAGTAAGTGGTAAAGTATAAACCTCTAATAACCTGATTGCCTGATAAATTATATGCTACCGACTAAAAAGAGCTATAAAAAGGATAATATACAGAATGAATTAAAAGTTTCCAATAAGAATATAACGAGTAGAACTTGTCATACTCACTTACTATATTCCGATGTACTATTAAATGATGTATTTACGTCACTGTTGCGTCGAATACATTACGGTAAAATAAGATACCGATGTACTCGCCAACTGCAAGTAAAAAACATTATTTTTGTGATGTCCGTTCGACATAGGTAGCATTGAATATATTTCATTATATTATATACTTTTTACCGTTGCAAAACACTGTAAAGATGAGGTAAATAATCCACCCACATGCAACCCGAAAGTTTTGTTACCTCTTTGTATCAGAAACAATATTAGTTTCTGCACATGTAAGGGCGCTGCATACCACATCACTCTGTATCTACAACATAATGACTAAAATATAAATTCGAGAAAAGTAAGAAGAGATAAAACAATGATGTTCACATATGTGCGCGCTTTGGAAATAATATTAAGCTTTACTTTCATTAGTTTTATTATTGGTCTACAAAAAGGTCACATAAGAAGTACACGATTGTAATCAATATTGTAAAAATAATGTATTTCTTACGCAGTTAAATATACTTGATCATTGTGATCTGTAATTTCCTGTCCGATTTCGTTGGAGAAAAACATATATATAAGAAAGAGAATTACATATATGAAACGAAATAAAAGTTCCTCTTTATTGCCTCCGGATGATGCAAGCTGAACGACCTAAGAGCAAATAATGTCAAGCTCATAAATATCAGTAGTTATGAGTGATATTACTTGTATAAACTACCAATCTAATCTAATAATATCAAAATTTTTTTCACTCTCAATTGTTTTTACACGCACAATACAATTTAAAAACTTTAATTTATAATAGTTATGTTTCTCTATTTTTGTTATCAGTAAGTTCGTATATTGAGATATTAACTCCCCTCATTCATAGACACGTTTAAAGTCCGGAAAAACTCACTCGAAAAAGATTAAGACTCAAGCTAACGACGCCTAACGCAATGAGAAGAAAGAAAGTCCTCTCAAAACTGGATATTAGAAAACTGGAGTATCTTTAAGAATATAAGAGAATGTTATCAGATTTATTTTAGATAAGTGTTATCAAATAAATACCGACTTCATAGCTTTACGATGAATGTCTACCGCATAGATCATCCTCTTAAAAATCACATTCTGGTCTTTTAGATTAACATTTTCTCGCTTATTGTTTGTAATTGCTCGTTCTATGCGATAACTGTAAATAATTTTCTCGCTATAATTATATAACTTTCTTTTTATTTATTCAACGTGCGAAAATACACTAATAAAAATCATGACTTCACTATATATTGCTATTGGCTTCATCACCTGGCGATACTAAACATTCCACAGGCATGTTTAAGAAACACCAGAAGTAGCGTTCCCGTTGCTACCATTGCAAACATTCCTATGCAAATTGCTATGTTCGTATGCAATATAATTAAGTAAGAATACTTTTCTTGATCAACAAAGTACTCGGTCACGATGAACATTTTGCGACGGAACAAAGATTCGTTCAGGAACAAAAAAATGCCAAGAACGCGTGGCCAAATTGGTTGGACAATAATAACGATTTGAGGAAACACGACTACCACTAAGGACATTTAAAAAAATGTAATTATATAAATAAGTGTTTTTTAATAATCAATAATAAAGAATTATTGTAAAACGAAATTTACTCAAAATATAACTTCTCCATTATGTTTGTAATCTGACAGAAAACTAATTATCGAAATATTTCAATTTTTGTTATTTTTAATAATAACTTAAATATCATACGTAATCGTTAAAATACATTTACACCCGTAACTCCTTATTAAGATATTAATTAGATATTTTTTAATATAACTTCAAAGTTTGCACACATAGGTGCAAGATAGTGAAATGGTTACCCGACTTTTTATAGCGATTATAATACATTATATATAGTAATATATCAGTAAGTATGCGTTATCTTACGTGTAAGAATAATAGTAATTTGTCTCCCTCGATAACCATATCTTTTTATAATTGCAATTTCATTCTCGTCCTTCAACTCACTACAAATTTCCTGTAGTTTTTTCAGTAAACAAGTTACCTGTTATAGTAATTAACATTTTGATAATAAATAATATTGTGACGTTACTTATTAAAGATTTCTAAAAAATGTTTAGGTAGAAAAATTCACGAGTAAATAACACTTAGTTAAATATGCCACAAAAAATTTCAACTTACAGTTCGCATATTAATCCAGACCGAAAGAAAATTAACCAATAAAACACAGCATACTAATGTGCTGCAGAAAACATTTATGAGAAGATCGGAAGTGCATTCTGCAGTTAGAAGGACTGTAGTCTACAGGCAATACATTTTTTTTAATAACGATATTAAAAACTATTTCTTTATTTAACTACCAAATTGCACATTTAAAATAATCTATTGCCCTCATATCTAAGATAAAATAACATAATTAACTTTATATAAAAAAAGTTATAAATCTTATGTTGAGTAAAAATTACATTATGAGCTATATTAAAAAATTAATTCTGAACGTTAATAATACATGACGTTTAATCGATAAGTCCAACTGGTGTTTATGTCACTTTTCAAAAACTGCTGATGCATCTTACTATATATATGTTCAATGTTAAATAGTATAGTGCAGTTACATGCAACAATCATATTATAGTTTACATATTTTTGAAATCAAAGTAGACATTTACTACAGAACTGTAGACAACTGTGCGGCCATTTCTATTACACAATACATGTGCAGTTACAGTATAGACATACCTGAAATATTATAAAACTCATCAGTATAGCAAAAAATATGACAGTCTGGAGTCGGACAAGTGTTGATCGCTGATAGGGCCATAAGCCAAGTACTAGCAGAAGAGTTCGATTAATAGAAAAATGTTCAGTTTCAACAGAGATCATTTCGCTACGAGTGTCGAGACGCGTTTTACTGCAGGAAGTCAACGAAATTTTTGCAAGATCCTCTTATTTCAACCGTTTAAACTATTATTCTATAATTCTCTTCCGTTCAATATGAATTCGAGTGCAAATTATATAATGAAAAGTAACCGTAGGCTTACGATGCGTAATATCTCTATGAGATCGAGACACATGCACTTTCGTGACTTTGAAGGGGAGAAGGCCGGCTATCGATCTGACACCGAGAGAAATTCAACATATGTATATGTTTATTTCCCATAGAATAACACTCACGAAACGACTTGGTCATCTAAATGTCCACGCAAGCGCACTTGCATTCCAGTCGCGCACATGGTTCATTCTAAAGCCAGCAACCACGAGGCACACATGGTTATGGGGAGACACATCAGCCGATCCGTCGCAATATAGCAAGATATCATCCAGGGAATTATAGACGGTAAAATATTGATCTAATAATTTAAATGTTTTTACAAAGCTTTCTTCGGAGAAATTCACTAACTTAATTGCACGCATACATTAATGAACACCAAATATCATCCAACGCGTACCTACTGTACTCTCAAATATTACTGAATGTTGGAAGTTTGTGTCACTTCTGCGTAAAATACATAACGATAAAATAAGATACTGATATACTTGCAAACTATAATATAAGTAAGTTTTCTTTTTTTCGTGACAACATGTAATTTTAGTATTACAGCAATTTTAAACGAAACATTTTTTACAATCACATTATTTTATTTTTACTACTGTGTGCATTTAAATATCATGAAATATTTTACCACTCGTGTTCGAAGATGTATTTAATTAACAGTGCGGAAAAACGCACTCGAAAGAGATTAAGACTTAAACAAAGCACATCAAATAAGATTAATAAGAAGAACAATCATTTGAGAGTAGAAACTAAAAATTTAGTGAGAGTACTTCACAGAACAAGAAAATATTATAGAACTAACAATTTTATTGAAAAAGTTAGGAATATATTCAGCAATCATTAATGGTGTCATCTGCAAGCAATAAATTTATTGAAAAGATAGCACGCTCGAAACCGTGTTAATCAACTATAATGAATTCTGCTGTGTGGCTTACTCGGAATATCTTACGTTGAATATATTCTAAAACATGATGTATTTTTACTGAGGGAAACCATGAACAATCCATCCATAGCCAGAATGGTAATTTTAATCTCTTTGCAACAGAAACAATATCAGTTATTAATGTAAAATGGAAAGAAATTCAATATATATTAATTTCTCACGAAATAACTCATAAGACAACTAGCCGGCCGAAATTTACGCAAGCGTAGTCGCAAGCGTAGTCGCTCTTTCCACAATTCAAGTGCTTCATTCCAGTATAAATACTCGTGAGGTACGTTTGATCGTTGAGAAGAACATCAGTCGCATTTGTCTCAAGCTCGACATGTTAACTGTGGAATTAGCGCCGGTAAAGTGTAAACTTCTAATAACTTGTGAATTTTTTTACTGCTATTAGTGCTAATATATTTCACGTACTTACCGAATTATACTAATATGTATGATGCTCGAGTCTATACCATTTAATAGTTAAACTATTCTAAAAAGTGTTCAATTTTGCAGTTAGTAGCGTAACTAAATTTCATGTATTTCAAGAGAATATTTAACACCGACAAATTGTGTGTGTCCAGCTCTCCTTTGAATACGGCGGCACCTGAACGATTTAATATATTTGTCTGTATCTGAGGAATGTCAAAGTCGTAAATGTGCTTGATTGTATTAAATGCTCACCAATTACTAGCCTCACACGGTGTATCACCTATATCCCACTCCTCCGAATAAAATTACTTTCCGACAAAATATAATTGAATCAGTGCCATCTCCAGACACGTTTTGAATGCTTCAAATAATTTAAATCATGATACACCTATGTTTCTTACATGTATTGAACAACCGAGTTTTAAATACATACATACATATATATGCATATAACAAAAAATATATACTGCATTTAAGTAAATGTTATTATTTGTTACAAGTATTTCGTCAGTTTATATATCCGCAAATCTAACATAAATTCATCATAAGTATCAAACTTATTCAAAATACATTCTGAATTTTAGCACGTTTTACATTTCAATTAAGAATATTAAATGATATGTATTAAATTAGACAAAAATTCTGTTTGCATATTCCATGAAGTCGAACCAACTTGTTTTTCTACAAAGTTTCACAATATTCTTTTAAAAAGAATAAATTTTTCTTTTGAACAAAACACAATACATGATTTTACACAATAACATGATTTTTTGAAATTTGTAATGCACATTTTTCCAAACTATTATCAAAAAAATTGTTTTTCTTTGTTGAAGATAATCATTACTTAAAAGAAGAAATATAAACTGAGTTATTATTCTCGTTAGCAATAAAATGATGTTTTTCTCTTTATAATAACAAGTAATTTTATTTTGACACCTAGACGTTGTAAGTGTCGCATAACAATTGCGGATGCAATATGGATTTTTATAAAATGAGTTCAAATTGTCTGGAATCTTTCAAAAGAAAAAAAAGCTATAGAAAAAATATTACATAGAATTAATTAAAAGTTTACAGTAAGAATATAACGGGCAGAAGTTATCACGCTTACCTACATTTCGATATACTATTAAATGGCGGATACATTCACGTCACTGTTGCGTAGAATATATTATGGTAAAATAAGATACTGATGCACTTATCAACTGTAAATAAAAAACCTCATTTTTCGTGTTATCCGTCCGACAAAAGTCGCATTGAATATATCTGATTGAATTATATATTTTTTACCGTTGCAAAACACTCTAAGGATGCAACAAATAATCCACCCACATTCAATCCGAAAGTTTTGTTACCTCTTTGTATCAGAAATAATATTAATTTCTGCACATGTAAGGGCATTATATACCATATAACTTTGTATCTACGACATAATGGATAAAATATAAATTCGAAAAAAACAAAAAGACAGAACAATGTTCCCATATATACGCGCTTTGGAAATTACATTAAACTTTAGTTTTGGTAAATTCACTGTTGGCCTGTAAGAAGGCCACTAGCACATTGTCATGAATAATACGAAAACAATATATATCTTACGCTGTAAAATATACTTGATCATTGTGATCTGTAATTTCCTGTCCGATTGCGTTGGCAAAGAACATGTATGAAAGAATAAGAATTATGTATACAAAACGTAAGAAAAGTTCTAATTTATCACCTCCGGTTGATGCAAGCTGAACAATCTAAGACCAAATGTCAACCTCATAAAGATGAATAGTTATTAATGATATTATTTGTGTAAACCACAATTAATATATAACTTAATAATATCAAGATTTTTTTTACACTGAAATGTTTTTACACACAAAGTATAATTATATTTTATTATAATTATATTATTATTATACTATAAATTATACTATTATTATACTATAAATTATATTATTATTATACTATAATTTATATTAATTGTTTCTTTGCATATGATTATGTTTCTTTATGTATGTAAGTAAATTTGTATATTCAGATTTGTGTATAAACTCCTCTCGTCTATAGATGTATTTAAAGTCCTGAAAAACTCACTCGAAAAAGATTAAGACTCAAACAAACCACGCCCAACGCAATAAAAAGAAAGAAAGTTCCCTCAAAGCTGGATATTAGAAAATTGGAGTATCTTTAAGAATATAAGAGAATGTTATTACACTTATTTTAAGTAAGTGTTATCAAATAAATACCGACTGCATAGCTTTACGATGAATGTCTATCGCATAGACCATCCTCTTAAAAATCACATTCTGGTCCTTTAAATTAACATTTTCTCGCTTATTGTTTGTAATTGCTCGTTCTATGCGATAACTGTAAATAATTTTCTCGCTATAATTATATAATTTTCTGTTTATTTATTCAACGTGCGAAAATACACTAATAAAAATCATAATTTTTCTATATATTACTATTGGCTTCATCACCTGGCGATACTAAACATTCCACAGGCATGTTTAAGAGACACCAGAAGCAGCATTCCTGTTGCTATCATTGCAAATGTTCCTATGAAAACTGCTATGTTCGTATGCAACATGATTAAGTAAGAATATTTTTCTTGATCGACAAAGTACTCAGTCAAGATTAACGTTTTGCGATGGAACAAAGATTCGTTCAGGAACAAAAAAATGCCAAGAACGCGTGGCCAAATTGGCTGAGCAATAATTACGATTTCAGGGAACGCGTATAACACTATGGACATTAAAAAAAATGTAATTATATAAATTAGTATTTTTTAATAATCAATAGTAAAGAATTATTGTAAAATAAAATTTACTCGAAATTTACTCAAAATATAACTTCTCTATTATGTTTGTAGTCTGACAGAAAACTGATTATCGAAATATTTCAATTTCTGTTATTTTTTATCATAACTTAAATATCATACGTAATCGTTAAAATACATTTACACCCGTAACTCCTTATTAAGATATTAATTAGATACTTTTTAATATAACTTCAAAGTTTGCACACATACGTGCAAGATAGTGAAATGGTTACCCGACTTTTTATAGCGATTATAATCCATTATATACAGTAATATATCAGTAAGTATGCGTTATCTTACGTATAAGAATAATAGTAATTTGTCTCCCTCGATAACCATATCTTTTTATAATTGCAATTTCATTCTCGTCCTTCAACTCACTACAAATTTCCTGTAGTTTTTTCAGTAAACAAGTTACCTGTTATAGTAATTAACATTTTGATAATAAATAATATTGTATGACGTTACTTATTAAAGATTTCTAAAAAATGTTTACGTAGAAAAATTCACGAGTAGATAACACTTAGTTAAACATGCTACAAAAAATTTCAACTTACAGTTCGCATATTAATCCAGAACGAAAGAAAATTAACCAATAAAAGACAGCATAATAATGCGGTGGTCAAAACATTGATGAGAAGATCTATAGTGTATTCTGCAGTTAGAAGTACTGTAATCTGTAGGCAACACATTTTTTTAAACAACAACATTAAAAACTGTTTCTTTGTTTAACTACCAAAGTGCAAATTTAAAATAGTTTGTTGCCTCCATATCTATGATAAAATAATATAATTAAATTTATAAAAAGAAAGTTACAAATTTTATGTTGAAGAAAAATTAAATTGTGTTATAATAAAAAAATTTTTCTAATCGTTGATAACACATAACATTTAATTAATAAATCCGACTAATTTTCATTGATTAAAAAGTACTAATATGTCGTACTATATGAATGTTCAATAGTATGAAACAATCATATAATAGTTCGAGTGTTTTTTAAGTCAAAATACACATTTACTACAGGTGACAGTGCAGCCATTTTTATTACACAATAACATGTGCAATTACAATATAAACATACCTGAAATATTACAAAACTCATCAATATGGCAAAAAATATGATAGTCTGGAGTAGGACAAGTTTTGATCGTTGACAGGGCCATAAGCCAAGTACTAGCAGAAGAATTCGATTAATAAAAAAATGTTCAGTTACAATACAGATCATTTCGCTAGAAGCGACGCGACGCGTTTGAATGTGGAAGTTTACAAAGTTTTTGCAAGATACTCTTATTTCAACCGTTCAAACCATTATTCTATAATAGCCTTCCATTTAACATGAATTTTAATGTAAATTATATAATGAAAAATAACGATAGGGCGATGCGTAATATTTCCGTAAAATCGACACGCGTGCATTCTCATGACTTTGAAGGGGAAAAGCCGGCTATCGATCTGACACCGAGAGAAATTCAACGTACGCGTACGTTTATTTCCCATAGAATAACACTCACGAAACGACTGGGTCATCTAAATGTCCACGCAAGCGCACTTGCATGCCAGTCGCGCACACGGTTCATTCTAAAGCCAGCAACCACGAGACACACATGGTTATAAAAAAACATATCAGCCGATCCGCCCCAATATCGCAAGATATCATCCACGGAATTACAGACGGTAAAATATTGATCTAATAATTTAAATGTTTTCACAGAGCTTTTTTCGGAGAAATTCACTAACTAAATTGCACGCATACATTAATAAACACCAAATATCATCCAACGCGTACCTACTATACCCCCAAATATTATTAAACGTTGGAAATTAGTGTCACTTATGCGTAAAATACGTAACGATAAAGTAAGATACCGAACTATAATATAAATAAGTTTTCATTTTTTCGTGACAACATGTAATTTTGATATTATAGCTATTTGAAACTAAACATCTTTTACATTCTTACAATCACATTATTTTATTTTTACTACTGCGCGTATTTAAATATCATGAAATATTTTACCACTCGGGTTCGAAGATGTATTTAATTAATAGTGACGAAAAACTCACTCAAAAGAGATTAAGACTTAAACAAAGCACATCAAATAAGATTAATAAGAAGAACAATCTTTCGAGACTAAAAACAAAAAAATTAGTGAGACTACTTTGTAGAATAAGAAAATATTATGGAAGTAACAATTTTAATGAAAAGTTCGATATATATTCAGCAACCATAAATGATGTCATCTGCAAGCAATAAATTTATTGAAAAGATAACACACTCGAAACTGTGTTAACAAACTATAATAAATTCTGTTGTGTTGCCTACTCGGAATATCCTACGGTGAATATATTCCAATCCATGATGTATTTTTTGCTGAGGGAAACCGTGAACAATCCATCTATAGCCAAAATGGTAATTTTGATATCTTTGCAACAGAAACAATAACAATTATTAACATAAAATTCAATATTCAAATTAAAGAAATTCAATATATATTAATTTCTCATGAAATAACTCATAAGACAACTAGCCGGTCGAAGTTTACGCAAACGTAATCACTCTTTCTACTATTCAAGTGCTTCAGTCCAGTGTGAATACTCGTCGAACACGTTTGATCGTTGAGGAAAACGTCAGCCGCATTTGTCTCAAGCTCGACGTGTTAACTGTGGAATTAGCGTCGATAAAGTGTAAACCTCTAATAACTAGTGAATTTTTTACTGTTACTAGTGCTAATATATTTCACGTACTTACCTAATTATATTAATGTGTATGATGCTTAAGTCTATGACATTCAGTAGTGAAACTATTCTAAAAAGTGTTCACTTTTGCAGTTAGTAGCATGACTAAATTTCATGATTTTGCAAGAAAATAAGTAACACCGACGAATAGTGTGTGCCCACCTCTCCTGTGAATACGGTCGCACCTGAACGATTTAATATATATGTCTGTATCTGAGGAATGTTAAAGTCGTAAATGTGCTTGATTGTATTAAATGCTCACCAATTACTAACCTCGCGCGGTATCTCACATATATCCCATTGCTCCAAATAAAATTATTTTCCGATAAAGTATAATCGAATCAGCATCATCTCCAAACACGTTTTAAATGTTTTAAATAATTAGATATAATTAAAACCATGATATACCTATGTTTGTTACATGTATTGCACAACCGAGTCTTAAAAACGTACATATCTCAAAAAATATATACAACATTTAAGTAAATGTTATTATTTGTTACAAGTATTTCGTCAGTTTATATATCCGCAAGTCATAAATTCATCATAAATATTAAACTTATTCAAAATATATTCTGAATTTTATCACGTTTTACATTTCAATCAAGAATATTCAATTATATGTATAAAATTAGACATAAAATTCGTTGGCTTATTCCATAAAGTCGAACCAATTTGCTCTTCGATAAAGTTTCACCATATTTTTTTAAAAAGAATAAATTCTTCTTTTGAATACATAATAACATGATTTTCTGAAATTTGTAATTAACATGTTTTCAAACTATTATCAAGAAAATATTTTTTTGTTGAAAATCATTAAAAGAAAAAATAAACTAAGTTATCGTTTTTGTTTGCAATAAAATTATATTTATCTTTATAATAACAGGTAAATTTAATTTCATACCTAGATGTTGTAAGTGTCGCATAAAAATTGCGGATGTACTATGGATTTGTATAAAATGAGTTCAAATTGTCTGGAATCTTTCAAAAGAAAAAAAAAAGCTATAAAAAAATATTACACAGAATTAATTGAAAGTTTCCAGTAAGAATATAACGGGCAGAAGTTATCAGGCTTACCTACTACATCTCGATATACTATTAAATGAAGGACACTTCCATGTCACTGTTGCGTAGAATATATCACGGTAAAGTAAGACAGTGATGCACTTATCAACTGCAAATGAAAAATCTCATTTTTCGTGTTATCCGTCCGACATAGGTCGCATTGAATATATCGGATTAAATTATATATTTTTACCGTTGCAAAACACTCTAAGGATGCAACAAATAATCCACCCACATTCAATCCGAATGTTTTGTTACCTCTTTGTATCAGAAATAATATTAGTTTCTGCACGTGTAAGGGCGTTGCATACCATTTAACTTTGTATCTACGACATAATGAGTAAAATATAAATTCGAGAAAAGCAAGAAGACAGAAAAATGTTCTCATATATAAGCGCTTCAGAAATTACATTAAACTTTAGTTTTGGTAAATTCACTGTAGGCCTGTAAGAAGGCCAACTAACTAGCACACAATTATCATCAATAATACGAAAACAATGTATATCTTACGCTGTAAAATATACTTGATCATTGTGATCTGTAATTTCCTGTCCGATTGCGTTGGCAATAAACATGTATGAAAGAATACAAATTGTGTATACAAAACATGATAAAAGTTCAAATTTATCACCTCCGGTTGATGTAAGCTGAAAAATCTAAGACCAAATAATGTCAACCTCATAAAATTAAATGGTTATTAATGATATTACTTGTATCAATCACAATTAATATATAACTTAATAATATCAAGATTTTTTTTGACACTGAACTGTTTTTACACACATAGTATAATTATATTATTATTATAATATAATTTTATTATCATTATACTATAAATTATACTATTATATAATATAAATTACATTATTATTATACTATAATTTATATTAATTGTTTCTTTGCATATAATTAAGTTTCTTTATGTATGTAAGTAAATTTGTACATTGAGATTTGTATATACACTCCTCTCGTCTATAGATAAATTTAAAGTCCGGAAAAACTCACTCGAAAAAGATTAAGACTCAAACAAACCACACCGAACGCAATAAGAAGAAAGAAAGTTCCCTCAAAGCTGGATATTAGAAAATTGGAGTATCTTTAAAAATATAAGAGAATGTTATTACACTTATTTTAAGTAAGTGTTATCAAATAAATACTGACTGCATAGCTTTACGATGAATGTCTATCGCATAGACCATCCTCCTAAAAATCACATTCTGGTCCTTTAAATTAACATTTTCTCGCTTATTGTTTGTAATTGCTCGTTCTATGCGATAACTATAAATAATTTTCTTTCCGTAATTATATAATTTTCTGTTTATTTATTCAACGTGCGCAAATACACTAATAAAAATCATGACTTCACTATGTATTGCTATTGGCTTCATCACCTGGCGATACTAAACATTCCACAGGCATGTTTGAGAGACACCAGAAGCAGCATTCCTGTTGCTATCATTGCAAACGTTCCTATGAAAACTGCTATGTTCGTATGCAACATGATTAAGTAAGAATATTTTTCTTGATCGACAAAGTACTCAGTCAAGATTAACGTTTTGCGACGGAACAAAGATTCGTTCAGGTAGAAAAAAATGCCAAGAACGCGTGGCCAAATTGGTTGAGCAATAAGAACGATTGCAGGAAACGCGAATAAAACTAAGAACATTTAAAAAAATGTAATTATATAAATTGGTGTTTTTTAATAATCAATAATAAAGAATTATTGTAAAACTTAATTTACTCAAAATATAACTTCTCTATTATGTGGGTAGTCTGACAGAAAGCTGATCAACGAAATATTTCAATTTCTGTTATTTTTAATACTAACTTAAATATCATACGTCATGGTTAAAATACATTTACACCCGTAACTCCTTATTAAGATATTAATTAGATACTTTTTAATATAACTTCAAAGTTTGCACACATACGTGCAAGATAGTGAAATGGTTACCCGACTTTTTATAGCGATTATAATCCATTATATATCGTAATGTAAGTAAGTAAGTACGAAAAGTGTTATCTTACGTGTAAGAATAATAGTAATTTTTCTCGCTTGATAACTATACGTTTTTATAATTGCAATTTCATTCTCGTCCTTCAACTTATTACAAATGTCCTGTAACCTTTCCAGTAAACACTTTACCTGTTATAATAATTTTTATTATAGTAATAATTATATTGTTGTATAACGTTACTTCTTATAGAATTATAAAAAATGTTTACATAGAAAAATTCACGAATAACATTTAATTAAATATAAGAGAAAATAGAAAATTTCAACTTACAGTTCGGATATTAATCCAGAACGAAAGAAAATTAACCGAAACACCAGAGTATGCTAATGCGGTAGGCAAAACATTGGTAAGAAGATCGGAAGTGTATTCTGCAGTTAGAAATACTGTAGTCTGTAGACAACATATTTTTTTATATAACAACATTAAAAACTGTTTCCTTATTTAACTACGAAAGTGAAAATTTAAAATAGTTTGTTACCTCCATTTCTATTATAAAACAACATAATTAAATTTATAAAAAGAAAGTTACAAATTTTATGTTAAAGAAAAATTAAATTGTGTTAAAATAAAAAAATTTTTCTGAACGTCGATAACACATGACGTTTAATTAATAAATCCGACTAATTTTTATTGATTAAAAAGAGCTAACACGTCTTACTATATGAATGTTCAATAGAATAAAACAATCATATTATAGTTCGCGTGTTTTTGCAGTCAAAGTAGACATTTACTACAGATGACTGTGCAGCCATTTCTATTACACAATAATATGTGCAATTAGAATATAGACATACCTGAAATATTACAAAACTCAGCAGTATGACGAAAGTTATGATAGTCTGGAGTAGGACAAGTTTTGATCGCTGATAGGGCCATAAGCCAACTATTAACAGAAGAATTCGATGAACAGAAAAATGTTCAGCTTCAATACAGATCATTTCGCTACGAGTGTCGAGACGCGTTTGACTGTGGGAAATCCACGAAGTTTTTGCAAGATACCCTTATTTCAACCGTTCAAACCATTACTCTATAACCGCCTTCCACTTAACATGAATTTTAATGTAAATTATATAATGAAAAATAACCGTAGCGCGATGCGTAATATTTTCGTAAGTTCGACAAGTGCATTTTCGTGACATTGAAGGGGAAAAGGCCGGCAATCGAATTGACACGAAGAAAAATTCAACGTATGCGTATGTTTATTTCCCATAGAGTAACACTCACTAAACGACTTGGTCATCTATATGTCCACGCAAGCGCACTTGCATTCCAGTCGCGCACACGGTTCATTCTAAAGCCAGCAACCACGAGACACACATAGTTATAGCAAAGAAAAATATCAGCCAATCCGTCGCAATATAGCAAGATACCATCCACGGAATTACAGACGGTAAAATATTGATCTAATAATTTAAATGTTTTCACAGAACTTTCTTCGGAGAAATTCACTAACTAAATTACACGCATACATTAATAAACACCAAATATCATCCAAGGCGTACCTACTATATCCCCAAATATTATTAAACGTTGGAAATTAGTGTCACCTTTGCGTAAAATACGTAACGATAAAGTAAGATACCGATGTACTTGCAAATTATAATATAAATAAGTTTTCATTTTTTCGTGACAACATGTAATTTTGGTATTATAGCTATTTGAAACTAAACATTTTTTACATTCTTACAATCACATTATTTTATTTTTACTACTGCGCGTATTTAAATATCATGAAATATTTTACCACTCGGGTTCGAAGATGTATTTAATTAATAGTAACGAAAAACTCACTCAAAAGAGATTAAAACTTAAACAAAGCACATCAAATAAGATTAATAAGAAGAACAATCTTTCGAGACTAAAAACTAAAAAATTAGTGAGACTACTTTGCAGAACAAGAAAATATTATGGAAGTAACAATTTTAATGCAAAGTTCGATATATATTCAGCAACCATAAATGATGTCATCTGCAAGCAATAAATTTATTGAAAAGATAATATACCCGAAACTATGTTAACCCACTATAATGAATTCTGTTGCCTACTCGGAATATCCTACGGTGAATATATTCCAATCCACGATGTATTTTTTGCTAAGGGAAACCGTGAACAATCCATCTATAGCCAAAATGGTAATTTTAATATCTTTGCAACAGAAACAATTACAATTATTAACATAAAATTCAATATTCAAATTAAACAAATTCAAATTAAAGAAATTCAATATATATTAATTTCTCATGAAATAATTCATAAGACAACTAGCCGGTCGAAGTTTACGCAAGCGTAGTCACTCTTTCTACCATTCAAGTGCTTCAGTCCAGTGTGAATACTCGTCGGGCAGGTTTGATCGTTGAGGAGAACGTCAGTCGCATTTGTCTCAAGCTCGACGTGTTAACTGTGGGATTAGCGTCGATAAAGTGTAAACCTCTAATAACTAGTGAATTTTTTACTGTTACTAGTGCTAATATATTTCACGTACTTACCTAATTATACTAATGTGTATGATGCTTAAGTCTATGACATTCAGTAGTGAAACTAGTCTAAAAAGTGTTCACTTTTACAGTTAGTATCATGACTAAATTTCATGATTTTGCAAGAAAATAAGTAACACCGACGAATTGTATGTGCCCAGCTCTCCTTTGAATACGGTTGCACCTGAACGATTTAATATATTTGCCTGTATCTGAGGAATGTTAAAGTCGTAAATGTGCTTGATTGTATTAAATGCTCACCAATCACTAACCTCGCGCGGTATCTCATATATATCCCATTGCTCCAAATAAAATTATTTTCCGACAAAATATAATCGAATCAGCATCATCTCCAAACACGTTTTAAATTCTTTAAATAATTAGATATAATTAAAACCATGATATACTTATGTTTCTTACATGTATTGCACAACCGAGTCTTAAAAACGTACATATCTCAAAAAATATATACAGCATTTAAGTAAATGTTATTATTTGTTACAAGTATTTCGTCAGTTTATATATCCGCAAGTCATAAATTCATCATAAATATTAAACTTATTCAAAATATATTCTGAATTTTATC